TTTTTTTTACAAACCTCCAACTAAAAGTGAAGTCTGATATTTGTAGTTATCTAAATGTAAAGAGGTGCAACATGTAATAGAATCAGAAGAAAGTGTGTCTATTATTTGGCATTGCAGCCAGTAAATCCCTCGTGGTGTACCATTTGTCAGAGCTTTGGACCTCGGCATTCCCCTGGAGGAGCTGGAGGAAGTGTCTGGAGAGAGGGAAGTCTGGGCATCTTTGCTTAGACTGCTGCCCCCGCGACCCGGTCCCGGATAAGCGGAGGAAAATGGATGGATAGATGGCTTTAAGAAACACGCCATCTTTCTTATTAACCCTAATTAATAGACATGTTTTTGCTGTTACACTGTTATAGGTGATATGAAGGAATACAGTACAGATGACCATCTGGAATGTATGTTTTGTTTATGAGGTGGTTGGGGATATGATAATGTTGATGGATGGTATCGTAAATTTACCATACCGCAACATTAAGCATTTATGGTCTTATTTGAAAGTGAACACTCAACACTCAAATCCTTTAGGATGTTTTTTTTTTACTTAAAGAGCTGGCTTGTGAGTGTTGATGGTGTTACATTTTTTCCACAAGTGCACTTCCTGACATCTGCCTTTAACTTGTGATTGCGTGCCAGCTAAAAGTCAGCATGGTGATTCTGTGACGCACGTTGTTAAAAATTGCCAGCTGAACATTTTGACATGACTTGAATCAAAACACTTTTTGGCCCAAATACATAGACAAAGCTCTCAACAGCAATGTGGAATCACAGCCAAAAATCCAGTCAGATGTTTTCCAGGAAGCAAGATGTTTGTCAGGGATTTAAGCTGCAGTGCTTACATGATGTCAGCTGGTACTCTTGACTGTTGATGTTGCACAAACATAAGTTCTACTGCAACCGTGCTTGGTAGAATTTTTTGTTTTCTCCTGTTTTCCAAAAGATGCCTGCCTCACATGAATAGTGGCAGCAGGAAAGCCTTTCATTGTTTCACTGACCAACCTTTGTCAAGCTATAGTATGACTATGATCCCAACCCACCATATTTGACATTTGCTGTAAACTAGCAAGTTATTTAGCTAACGGCTATACTTTCTGTCCTTGTATGTCTTTGTTTGTCACTTTATGTATACGATTGTAAGTATAAGTGTACAGTATGTATGTAAAATATATTATTCAAAGTTAATCGCCAAAGGGAAAGTGTTTTTGTGTGTGTAAATTTAGCTGTTTTATGCTCTGTCCAGATGTACTGTAGGTTTTTGGTTTTGGTTTTAATGTTATGAATACTTTTTGTATTGTGATCTTAGTTAATGAATTTTATTTTGACATTATTACACCTAATAACTTGTTTGGTACCCAGAATTAGAAATCAAGATATGTGTGCAGTGCCTTCCAATTATCCTCATTACAGAGTAACTTAACATCAAGCTGAAAAGCAGTATTGTATCCTTTCAAGCCTGTTTCACCTCTGAGCATAACCGACAGTGATGCCACAGTGTCTCAGAGTGCACTTGTGCATCACTGCAGCAGAGTGAGAAGTAAAATAAATTAATAAAACAAAATTTGTAGGTTGTGTTAAGTTACTCTTTAGGCTTGTGTGTTGCTAACACTGTCATCCTACAGTCACCTTAAAGTAGAAGTGTCAGTGTTAGAGCGATATTTAACTTTTGTAGCACATTTCAGAGCAAGATTTTTAATATAATAAACAGATACAACACAGTCTCAAATGAATACATAAACATGGATCATGTACTTGGGGTCAAAACCATTTCAAAACCTCACTGTGGAGACAATAGGTTTTTTTTATATTTGTATTTTTAGACACAACACAAAACAAAGAAATCCATTCTTAAGGGCAACACACTGCGTATGATGCACAGTTAAAACACCCAGCCATTGTTTTCTGCGTAAATCAACACACCAGTCTTAACGTGTCAGTCTGTGATGGTCTTCAGAAAAGCTACAGTTTTATCACATCCTCTCTGAGACTGGCACCCAGTGTTTACTGCAGTTGTTAACTGACACACTGCTATGCTGCCGGTGTATGTTGCACATTAGTTAGATTATGTCAAATATTTCTATTGATCCCAAAGAGAATATAAGGTTAATATGTACATTATTAGTACCAGTGACTGATGTTTCTAGCTGTAGTTTTGTTCTTTCAAAACAAAATATTGCTTTAATGGGAATTCCATATGTATACTATAGAGGCCAATATCAATGAACATCCAGCCACTGTCCTAGTGTTGATATCCCAACAAAAATAAAACATGAGAAAAGTCTGAATGATCGTGTTGGTGCGTTTTTAATATGGGACTTTGCTGATATTAGAACAGTTATACCAGAATGCCACAAATACTTTATGATGTTACCACTTATCAAATTGAAAAGGTTCTTACTTTATCTTATGTGTGTAACCTTGCTGTGATTGCCCCTTTTATTATTCCACAGTGCTTTTATTTCCATGACATTCAAAAAGTTAGTATCACACAAGGGCATGGGTATGTTCCATAAGGGTTTTTTTTTCTTGCTAGACCTAATAATAATCTATAAACCTTGAGGCTGTTCTCACATTTTCAACAGCCTTGAGTGTTGCTTGACAGCAGCAGTCTGTAACCATGTATTTGTTTTTCGTAAGAGGAGCACACAGACTTGTGATTGTTTTGTATGTGTGTGCAGGGTTAGAGGTGGGAAAATGCACATTGAATTAGTTCTAAACATTTCTATGGTCTTTTATGAAATGGTCTGTATGGACTTGGCATTTGATATTTGTTGTTTTTTTGTTTCTCACAGAATTAAGGCCTTCTCACCCCTAGAGGCTGCGAGGCCAAGGGGGCTTGTTATATTATAGATTTTATTTTAAAATCCCTACTGTGGTGGAAAACAATGTTAAGAGAGCTGCGAGAGTAAGCCAGAATTGTAAAGTTGTTGGTTGGACAACCTAACATAAACAGTGAGCTGAAATGCATTATAATGATATGTAACATCTGGGGCAGTTGCAGGTTCACATGATAATTCAATGTAGGTTCATCAAGCAACCCCTTTCACAGTGACACATTCATTTCTCAATGTCATTATCAAATCAAATCAAAATTTATTTATATAGCACTTTAAAACATCTGGTTGACCAAATTACTTTACAAGGACAAGGTAAAAACTAAAATAAATAATATCAATACAGAAATAAAACAACAGGAACCTGAACACACAAACTACACAGAATCAACAGTTAAAAGAAGGAAGAATCAGACACTACTATGTATTAAAATCCAAAGTGAATAAATATGTTTTATTAATAATAATTTAAAAGTTGTCAGGTCTGTAGATGATCTAACATTGAGAGGTGAACCATTCCATAATTTAGGAGCTGCAACAGTAAAAGCACGGTCACTCCAGTGTTTGTATCTGGCCCCGGAGAACCTCTAAAAGAAACTGGCTTGATGATCTGAGCAATCTTGTAGATTTGCACCAACTCAGCAAGGTAGGGCGGTGCCAAACCATTAAGAGCCTTAAAAACAAAAATCAATACCTTAAAAGGAATTCTAAAACAGACTGGAAGCCAGTGAGGAGAGGCCAGTACCAGAGTTATATGGTCAAATTTCCTGGTACCTGTTTGAAGATGAGTGAGAGACGAGTCATTATAACCATTTTAGGAAAAGACTAAACATACCACTAAAATGAGCATGTTTGATGAAGTGTATCTGAAAAAATAACACTAAATCTGTGGTACTAAAAAATATTCTACATGAAGTGTTCACCACTGTACTGTTAAGTGCTGCATGTGTGTATGTTTAATGTATATTTTGTATGTTTAATCTCTTTTGTGTGACATGAATTAAGGGACAGTCCTAGCAACACTGACAACATGTTTTTAGAGGAAAGACTGCTGTGTGTGTGTGTGTGTGTGTGTGTGTGTGTGTGTGTGTGTGTGTGTGTGTGTGTGTGTGTGTGTGTGTGTGTGCGCGCGCGCGCGCACGCTGTTATTGTTCCACAGCTTTGGGGTGCTAGCCTCCAGTTAACTGATATATGTCTCCCTATTTCCTGCCGCTGCCACAATGGGCCCATCAGAGCCAGTGTAGCTACACAGGAAGTTGTGTGCTCTGTGCTGTTGATGAGTGAGGAGGATGTCACATCTTCATCGCAGCATCAATGCAGACACTTTATGTGGTTCCCACCATGGTTTGCTCACTGACATATATGCCCTCCCGGTCAAATGTCCTGCATGCAAGTGATTTTTAATTACCAGGATGAAACATTATTAAATTTCTGAGCTGCGAAGATGTACAGAGCCAAAGGAGATTACCATGACAGAACAGGAAGTGATTTTTTCTTATTCATATAAACATTTTGTTTGGAGAAGGGATAATCTGCTAGGTCACTGTGAATGAGTGTAACTTCTCTGTAACTGCAGCTGGCCGTGTGGTGCAATTCAACTAAAACACTTACAGTGCAAATGGAGAGGGAGAAGGGACTGACTGCAACTACAGATAAGAAAGGAAACGGTGGTGACGAGGAGTGAGGAAGAATGAACAGAGCAAGAAAAGTAAGAAAAGAAGGTGATGAAACAAGAAAGGGAGGTATGAGTGAAGACTGTAGGATGAGATAAAGTGATTAAAAGGGAAAATACAGAAAGTGAGAATAGAAGTCACATATTTTAATGACATTTCACAGGGACAATGTAAACATAGCAAGATTCTAGAAATGTACACAGATTATTTTTTCCTTGCATACCTGTACATCCCATTAATGATGTCTTCACTTTATAAACCATGACATAGCAGCCCCTTGAAATCATGAAAAGCTTCAGAGTGGAATTGTTTTCAGTGATTGCAGCCCTACTAAAAACACTAAAATTGCAAAACATCTAATCTCAGCCTATGACATATAATACAGAAGACTATGAGGACATCCGAGAACAAGGAAAATTAAAGTACTGTAAGAGAAGAGAGGGACGAAACAGGAGCTCTTACTATGCAGACAGAGAAATGAGCAGGAGGTGAGGGAAGCGCACAGGAGGAAGTGGGAGTGAGACAGTCTGATCCACAGTTTGGACCAAGGAGATGAAGGATGAGCAGTTTAAGGCCACACTCCATGCTCCCAACTCTAAACAGTTTACATACACTGTCCATCCCCAAAACACACACACACTGTAGATGTCTTCTGTAGACTCACATACACGCATTCACACACTGCAGAGCAAACACAAACCCATTCACAAACTTTTAAAAACCCACTTGAACAACTGGACAACCATGTTCTAGGTAATGGACACAAAAATCCATTGCATGCAGTACAGTAGATGACACATAGAGCTCTGTGTAGCTTTTATGCTGCACTTCACCCCTCTAGTCCCTCTTGTGGTGAGTAATAACACTGCAGCATCCAAATGGTAAAACAGTTTTGGTGGGTGGGTCGGGTGGGAGTGGGGGCTAGTTATGGAACATGTATGATTGGAGGCAGATGATTAAATAAGCAGAGTGAAAGAGGCATATAAAACAGAGAACTGTTTATGCTCAGGAAAGGAGAAATGCACAAGCTGGTTTTTGTACTCTGTGTCTTTTCAACTACCAGCATTTTCCACATTGAAAACAATAAGTGAATAGAGTTATTTCTCTATTATCTGCAGTCCATCTTCATGTCTTTGTCTATCTATTCATTCTTCAGTCCCACGGTTTGGTTAAAAGTGGACTTGTCACTGGACGTGTCATTCGCTGTGGGTTTATTTCTGTTCCACACTCTTACCCCAGAGCCACAGTGGACACAGGACTCTATGTAAGTGGGGCCACTGGCTCCTATTTATTTTCAAAGAGGTGCAGAAAAACACTTGTCAGGTACAAAAAGACTGATGCTGCAGCCACAAACGGTGCAGTAATACCGTTTGGTCTGTCAGTCCATATATCAAAAGTATCTAAAACATAATTGCTACAAAGCAATAAACATATGTCAGATAATTCATGTGAAATATGACATCAATAGCAATGCATAGCTGATGAGTTTTTTATTTTATTTTGAAGATTCTGTAATGTATAACATCAACATAAAAATGGGCAGATTGCCATGTACTTTACTGAGCACACTCAGGCATAAAAAAAACTTCCCTAATAGAGACTTGAGCTCACTTTAGCACAAACAAGTTACCAGCATTATGACTTTAAAAATAAAGTTTCCGCTACACAAAATACATATCTATAATCATCCCTGGAAAAATTATATCAGGAGAAATCATCACCTGTATACTTGATGGACACATAAATGTGTTTAATTAATAATTCTGTTTATTTGCAATCAATACAAACAAATATACGTGCATGGTAACTGTGGTAAGAACTGTATAACTGTCTATGCAATTTAACAAATAAAACACACACAAATCAAACAACATCACATCACATTAAAGAAGAAATAAAAATCTCAATAATCTCAGGGCAATTTTAGCAGACATAATGTGATATTAATCTCTAAATTAAATACAAAAGAAAACAAGCCAAAAAAATGCATTGAGTAATCCATATAACAAATATTGATGATGCAAGAGATGTTGTTGACACTATTCATGTTGTGTGATAATATGACATTGAGTAAATTTAACACACTTATGCACAGACCTCCGGTTCTGTCTTTATGAGAACACATTCAACTTTTAATTTTCATTTCTAAAATGTCAATTTTAAGGCAAAGAAATGAATCTACTTATGAGATTCTGCAAAATAAAATAAAGCAAATGTGTGTCTGTGCTTCAGTGAGAGATTTATCAGTGCTGATGTCACTAATCAGAAAAAAAAATTAATGAAAAAAAAGTCAAGAGAAATTAACAAAAAAGACAAATTTCAATAACAATATGATGAAAAATAAAGTATAAAACAAGAATGCCCACAAATGGAATAGCAACTTCAACAGCAATGCTTTAAAGTGATTTTGTGCTGCTATGGAATTAGCTGGAGGTGACAATAACAAAGTGGTTTTTTTATGTAGTTACAATGAAGTGTTATTGTCATGTCTGATACTATTTCTGGCCACAGCATTTAGTAATTCACCATTTGCACCTGATAAACAAATCAAAATGGGAAAAGAAATCAGAAAATAGAGAAATTCAAAAACAATCAGCATGTGATACAATGTGAGTGTATCTCATTTTAAAATAGTTCAGGGTCTATCTGAATGGTTAGAGGCTTCAGATCTTCAATGGTTAAGGCTATGGGGTTTAAGTTGTAGTTTGTTGCATTTAAGATTTTATATAAATAAAGCAAACCTGCCTGATCAATATGTGCTGATAAAATTTAGTCCCCAAATTTTAGGGAATTAAGGTCCCATATTACAAACTAACAAATATACAATGTAATAAAATATGACATGTTTATGATACAAAAAAGGTTTGGGTCTCCTGAAGAGAAGAACTGGGCAAGGAAAAAGTGAAATCATGGTATTGTCTGGGTACTCGATGAATGCATGGGCTCAGTGTCAGGGTTCATTTGTTTTAAGGCACTAAATCACTACATAACTCAGTGTTTCTTTTCACAAGGGCAGACATGTTTTTGTGAAAAGTTCCCAGGTTAGCAGCATCAGTGTCAGCATCCATGCTTAGTCTGTTCTGATGCATCCGCTCCAGTATCCGATCTATACTACTGAAGCTGGGCCTATCTGATGGGAGTGTGCTCCAGCAAAGTCTCATCAGATTGTACAGCTCCAGGGGACAGTTCTCAGGACAGGAGAGGATGTGACCATCTCTGACATAGTAAATAACCTCTTCATGACCCATGCCGTAATATGGCTGCATCCCATGGGAAAAAATCTCCCATAATACCACTCCATATGCCCACACGTCCGATTCCGTTGTGTAGCGGTTGTAGAAAATAGACTCTGGAGGCATCCAGCGAATGGGGATGGCATCATTCTCATTCGCTTTGTAGTAATCAGCTGAGTAGATGTTTCTGGAGAGGCCAAAATCCGCGATCTTCACCACCATCTGGTCCCCTACCAAGCAGTTTCTTGTTGCAAGGTCACGATGGACGAACTTGCGCTCTGATAGGTAGGCCATGCCTGCAGCAATCTGTTTAGAAACTGACATCTGCTCAGCACAGGACAGAGGACACGCCTCCAGCTCAGAGGAGAAGCTGCGACCCGACAGGCTGGCACGACTTAGGGTGCGCACAGATTGGGTTGGAGATCGACGACGCAAGAACTCATTGAGGTCACCATGGGCCATGTACTCAAACATCAGACACATTGGTTTACCCACTGCACACACACCTGTGGAAAAAGAACGCAGAGCATTTTACTGACATCTATCTATAACATACAAATGAGTGGTGATTTTCCCACCACAGAGGTATGAAACTATAAACACAAATACTCACCCACATAAACACATCTATGACATTATTAAACCACACTGAATGAATGCAATTTCTTCTTCTGCAGTATATCATACAATGAGTTTATTCAATGTCTAAGGTAAATAAAAATAAAAATTCAACCCAGGCATAAACACAATCGAAAACCATCTGTGATGGGTATGTGCTCACAAATAGTTTCACAGACTGGAAGTTCAGCCTTACATCGGTGATGTAAACTTAGTATATCTCTAAATTAGCTGTGTTCTTTTTAGCCTAGCTGTGCTGTTGTAGGAAAGTACAGGCTATTAAAGCACATGTCTAAAATTGTGGCCATGCTTCCTGTGATTAGGGGAACTTACAAATAACCGTCTTTAAGTGTCTGGAAACCTGCAATGCTGTGGGTATTTGGCAGCAAGAGCTTCTCAAATTCCACAAGCGAACTGCATTGTTGATGTGGAAAGAAAGTGTTGTTATATAAAATATATTAATAAATAGATCAACTCCTTACTTCTTCAGGTGATTATCTTTTAACTGATGTTAGTCTGTCTGTACACCTAAATGAATTCTGAGCAAATATGATGGACATACAACTTTTCTTCACCAAATTCATTCTGCTTTTTTCCCCCACTTATTTACTTTACCACTATAAAACTTGGTGTCTGCTTGTTTGTTTGTGCATTCCTGTGCAGTGCTGAGGAATTAGAGCGCACACTGTTAACACTGTGCAGAGCCCCCACATCCCTGTAGAAGTTGTAGATGTGCCATTCATGTAACCTGGCATTCATACAGATATTTAAATACTTTAAAAATCTGTGGAAAAAAAAAGTCATTTAAAAAGAAATTACCAAAAAAGAGATATTATCCAGTGAAATCTGGCAGTGGTTTCAGTTTCTCCTTCTTCAGGCAATAGTGTGAAGCACTTACAGCCTTGAAAGATCTTTCCAGCTGAGCATATGACTAGTACATTGCATGTGATCACATTGGCCACAATAACAGTTTTGATTGACTGCACTTCATTACTTCAGTTTCTGTATGAAATATGAATTGGAAACTCACTGATCTGTTGGTGGCCCAGTCAGTACAAGCTCTTTCAAAGTTTGGTCAAACCCACAAACCTTTATTTTGATTTCTAGTGGATATACCAAACTTCCCAGAAATGCTGTATATGACAAGCTGAGTATTGGCAAATGTGTGAATAATATTACATACTATGTAACCGTGTTTGAGTATTTTCAAATCATTGGAATGGTGCTGCTGTTAAAGACGGTCTTTGGTTTAAATATTTCACTGTGTAAACATCATTCAATAAAAAGCTGAAACAAGCTGATAAAGAATATACAGTCGTGACAGTGTGGAATAAGATGATTGACTTCTTGTGTGTGTGTGTGTGTGTGTGTGTGTGTGTGTGTGTGTTTCATTCCAGCACTAAATATACATAACACAGAAGGCCACCTTGCACACGCAACAAAGTAATGACACACAGGCATATGACATCTATAATTTTGACACACATGTTACTGATGGTGCATATATTTTTGATCTGTGGTGTATTATTAGTTCAAAGGAAAATTTGAGGTTAAAAAATAATCTAATCTACTCTGATTTCATTTGATGACTCATCCTGAATATCACTCAAAACTGTACAAAAATCCAGTGAAACTATGGTTTGATACACATCTGAAAAATTTGATTTTTTCTGCTGTGGTGTATGTTGATTTAAACATATTTCCCAACCACTGGAGCTGCAAAACAGACCAAAGTAAGCAAACCTCTTCTGACACATCCAGTGACCAATGGCTCTGTTTATCCACTGACAGCAGTAAATTAGAAGTATATTTGGATGCAAGCTGTTTGAAGTGGTTTAGGTTTGATTAGTGTAGATAAACTTTAATAGAAGATATTTTTTTTAGTCAGGCCAACAAAGGCACATTAGTTGTCATGTGGCACAAATTAACTTGCAAGAAAGTTAAATTTAATGGTTTTATAACACTAGTAAAATAGATACGCGAAGAACCACTTCCATTCAGGAAAATTACACTATGTGTAATGTGGAAACTAGGAAGTGAATTTATGAAAAACACTCTTAAAGAAGACATTTCCCTTTATTCCTGCATGATTTGTTCATTCTCATAAAGAGCCATTCATATCATATTTGATACGCAAGTTTCTGAGCAGATAGAAATCGCCAAAAATGCCCCATGTATCAAATGTGATACCAAACAAAATAAAAATATTGTAAATAATATGGCACATTTATTCCTATATGCCTGGATGGTCTGTCTATGCATAAATGGCAAATAAAAATCTTGAATCTTGAATTTTCTTTTGGATTTTGTTAAAAGGTTTAATAAACATCTCATGTCCGAAAAATTGGACTGTTCTGGCTAGTTTTTGATGTGTTGGGCTTTACAAGGTTAAAAACATTGTGATTGCTTTTGTGTGACTCACCAGCTTTTTTTTCTTATTCAGGCCAGAATTTCTCAAGGTTATTGATATGTTTAAATACCCTGTGGAAAAAGTGACAACTGAAATTTGGATTTTAGAAAGCAGATGTGTTACTGGGAAACAAGGTCAAAAACATTTGATAACAAACAGCTTGGACCCATAACTTAAACACTACTGCCACATGTGCTAAGTGAGAAGATAGAGCCTACAGTATGTATCTTTGTATGAACCAACTTTGTCTGACATCTATGCAGTGGAGATTGATTTATTCACCTGGCTGTTGTAGACCACAGGATGGTGCCAAAATGATAACAGGTGATGGAGATGATGGCTTGATTGCTGAATGATGTAATTACCCAATAGGATGAATTGTACATGTTGTTTGAAAATGTATAACACTGGTTCTAACCCTTTCAGCCACTTTGACCACAGAAATGTGAACTGAAATGTTGGGCTGCATGAGAAACAAATATTAGAGATGGTGGCCAAAAGGTTATTGAAGTGAGCTTGTGACCAAGGACACTGGTTCAATCCCTGGGCCAGCAGGATGAAATCTGGGTGGGACATGTCACAAAGCAACACTTGCCTCACCCTCATTAACACCACTTCAGTGGAGCTGCTCAGTGGTCACAGACCAAGCTGTGATTATACCAGGCAGCTTCCAGGTGTAAATGTGATCAGAGCATATCTGAAAAAAGAGGCGGCCTACATTCGGCGTACAGTAAAAAAAAAAAAACTCAATTCAACAAAGTGTTTTGGTCATTATTGAATATGATTAGAAAAAATATACCTGAAAATGTTGCAGATGTTTTGCTCAAATTCTATATGTGATTTGAGAGAACAGCATTCACCCTGTTCAATGTAAAATCCAGTTGTTAGACATCTAGTTTAGGCCTGAACACTGTTTTGCTAACACACAACCTTCATGAAAAAATATACCAACACACTAACCTAGGAGTCGCACAATGTTTGGATGGTCAAATTCAGCCATGAGTGCGGCCTCTCTCTGAAAGTCATTCTGCATGTCAGCTGAGGCCTCCTCCTTCAACATCTTCACAGCCACCATCGTGAAAGACTCGTTCGACAGCAGGCCAGGTGCTCTGAAACAGACACACACATCAACATTCAAGCACAGACATGTGACCCCTTGTAGCATAAGTTAGACCTCTGTATTGTAGATACTGTACTGTACTTGTAAAAGAAGGCCACATGGTATTAGGCTCCCAGTGGTGTCTGTATACTGCAGCATTCCAGTTTTCATTGAGGGATTATCAGCTGGGCTCAGACATTTTTGGCTACACACTACAAGTGCTACTGTTAAAATGCCTCAGACTATTATAGCACTCTTCTGTGCCCAATTTATCTGTTGTGCTCCACATACTGGCATTAAAGCTCTATGTACAGTCCCAGTCCCGATTTGTTCTCCACACCATGTTTTCCCAGGTCTGGTCCACTGGACATTTCTAGGAACTTTCATTCCCCATCTGGTCTCTGGTTGTCCCCAGGTTTTCCTCCCAGCTCTGCCCTTCACACACACACACACACACACACACCACAGGTGTATCCACTTACCTTGATTAGCCATCCTGTATATGAGCCTGATTTGTCTGTTCATTGTCGGTTTGTTTGTTGTGCTTATAGCCTTAGTGCTTCTTAGTCCCAGTGCTGCTCCATGTTTGTACTGCTTTTCTAGAGTTTACTTGTGTTTACCCATGTTTGAATGATTTCCCTGTTTTTGGACTCTGCCTGCCTTGGACTTTTGTTCCATCTACTTCACTGGATTTATTACTTGGCTCAGACAGTTTGTATGTCTTTGACCTTCATTTTAGACTTTCATTCTGCCTCTGGTTCTCCCTGTCCGGTTTTGTCTGCCCTGGACCAGAACTATGCTCTTGTGCTGCAATAAGCTGTTGTTTTTCTGTCAGAATGTTTGCTTGCCTTGGTCTGCTTTTGGGGCCTCTATCTTTGCCTGTTGTGCTTTACAAGAACCTTTACTTTATGTTGTCTGTGCAGCAACATGAACAAATTTCTCAACTGCAGTTTATATGATGATGGACAATTGTTTGTCCAACATGTCTCTCACTGTATTACAATTATGCTACTGTCCAGTAGACTTGATAGACACAATAAGAAATTCTAACATTCCTGTATGAACCAACTAATATAAGTTAACATTTTGCTCACAATGATATTTAGTGCTGTAAAAATCCCAGACATCTCTACATAAATCCACTTTGATGCTCTCGGACAGTTTTCTAGTACCATCTCATAGGCCACATCTCAGGGACATCACAGGGGTGTGAACATTTGTGTAGGCGGAGGTAAAGTTTAATCATGTTGAGTCTCACAAGGTTAGAGAAAGTTCCATTTCTATCTCTCATCATTTCCACTATCCTCACTTATGGTACACAGCCTGTAGTGGACAACGTTCTATCATCGCAGCCAACAAGATTTAAATTATTTTAGTTGAACAGTTAGTGTTGTTTTATTTTCTGTGATATAAAAACTTGAGGTAAATGCTATATGCTGTAAATGACATGCATTTGGTCACATCTTAGCTGCTGTTTTGGATGAAGAAGAAGACTACAGGCTGTTTACTTCACCTTTCAAAGCCCAAAATCTACGTTTATCCTATGATGGTTGATGTATTAGGAATACAACTAGTGTATGACCCAGGTCTGGTAGTTAATCATTAATCTGATCATATATCTTAGTCTGAGACTACATCCATTTCCTGTTTCCCAGATCGTTCCTCTTACCTGGCTTGGAAAACCCGCCCGAAGGCTCCCTCTCCAATATCTCTGACATATTGGATATTATTCCGTGGATACTCGAGGGCCAGCAGCTTTGAGTTCAGCAACAAGGGAACTCGCTGGTACATGGGATTGGGATGGAGTCGATCCAGCAGGAGCTCTGATGGAAGAGCACTGAGTCTTGGCGTCTCCATTACTCTATGGGCAGGAAGCAGAGCAGTTGGGAATAAAAAGGGGGATAGAGAGCTGTGTATCTAGCATTTCTTTTACCTCTTTCGGGTCCTCCGCTGCTTCCTCCATCTGCGACAGGCAAGGATGATAATGGTGAGGAAGACTGCAGCAATAAGTGTGGTCAGAGCGATAATGATGACAGTCATGGAGTAAGCTGGAGACAATACAGTGGTCATGGGAGGATGATGAGGAGTCTGACGAGGGCCTGGTTCCTCTGACTTCATCACTGACAACAACAAAATCCAGATGTTATGCTATGGGTTTTATGTATTATTATTATTATTTGATAGACTCAAACATTTTATTGTGTATTAATTAAGTATATTTGTTGTTACAACTTGGGTCTTTATTTACAAAGTTTTGCCCATCATTTTTAGAATATTATTGTTTAGCCAGATGAGAGCCAGATGACCACTGGAGGGAAAACCCAAAATTTGGAAAATAATCATCACTGCATAAGATGGGAAATACCTTAGGTCATAGCTGAACCAGGAAGTCAGTCTGTATTGTATAACTGTAATATTTTTATTAGTAATGTTGCAGCATTCCTTGATCTCAGCAGTCACCTTGCTGAACAGATTTTTAACCAATAGGAATTCAAATCAAATGTATTTGTATAGCACCAAATCACAACAAAAGTCATCTCAGAACACTTTACAAAGTAAAGTCTAGACCTTACTGTTGTCACTATTATTACATAGGGAAAACCCAACAAATCCCCCTTGAGCAAGCACTTGGCAACTAACACAACATCGGGGAGGAAAAACTCCCTTTAACGGAAGGAACCTCCGACAGACCCCGGCTCTTGGTGGGCGGCCTTCTGCTTCGACCGGTCGAATTGGCCATGGCCAAACTACAAAAAAAGCATGTTGTAATCAAGTTTAATAAAACATTAAACTAGACTAAAAACACCCTGAAATGCCTTGTCTGCAAAGGGTATTTTGCATCTACAGTATGTCCACATGTTAGTTGCTAGTTTATAAAGTAGCGTAAGCATTGGATCAACAGGCTCTTTTGCTAGTGATATTGCAGTTTTAAATGGGACAGAGCCATGAACTGAGAACAGGTGATTTAAGTACAAAAAGCAGCAGAAGGCACAACCTGATACTGTGCCTGTCTCCCCACATGGTGACACAGAACAGTACTCCCAGCGTATGTTGGGATTTGATGTGTAACACCAGGGCTTCTCACTGATTCCTCCTGGGTTCCTACAGTGGTTCTCTGAGTTCCTTAACTCTGGGATGAAATCCACAGACATGCGGTGCTGGTGGGGAACCTAAAAAGCAAGACATAATGGTAGAGAAGAGAAAAACATCACGATCAACAAGGAAAATCAAAGCTATACAGTGTTATTTAATCATAATAAGCAGTACAGACAGGGCTGTAAAATAACAATTGAGGTTACATGCCCTACGCAACTGTAGCATTGTTTCCATCTATTTTTTTTATTTAAGTGTTAAGGTGAGGTACCTCCGAGATCCACTTTGTGCATGTGGAGGTTTCTGTTTATCTGTTTTTAAACACTGGTCAATAAATGTGTCTGCATTTATCTCCTAGAATGTTCATGGCCTGTTTCAGTCTGATTCGGATGGACAGATTTCTTACTTTTGCAGAAAGTTTCTGACTCTCACATCAAACACAAAACTTAGATGGCTTTCCAATATTTCATACACATTTCAAGGGTGTGCTTAGGGTTTATGCTAAGGTTACAGTTTAATAACCGCAGAGGCTATAAAATGTGCAGTAGCAAGGGGTTGCATGGGTGTTCCTGCAGTCTACAGTGCCAACTCAAATATTGAACATCTGGGGTCTTCGTGTATCATAAACATTAGTCATCAAAAGAGAAATGGTCCAACATATCCCAAAGAGTGTGAAGTTATAAGCTAAAAAAGCTGGGTTCAAAACATCTGTAGATGAATGTATATATCTTGATTGTGTCAATCAAGATATATACAAGAACAGGCTTAATGATTAATTAGATGGAACATTGTGGGTGTGGTGTATGAATGTTAATACTCTGTAATAATTTTTTTGTATATTACTTGTGTCGTGTAGAAGAGAATTATCTATGTAGAGATACTGCTTGCAAACCAGTGATGGTAAGATGATGTCATGGGGTAGGACTGGATAAGTCTGACTTCTTTCTACTCCATTCAAGCACGTATTAGGTATAAGCAAATTGATATTGGATTAGCATTTGTTGGATATGTGTAAAATTATGTGTGTTGACATATCAACTGTCTTTACATGCTTGAAAGAATAAATCAAATCAAATCAAATCAAAATGTGTCGAGCATACTGCTTACAAAATTGATTTTCTACTGGTGCCAGGAATGTGGAAAAAAACAAAGAAGTGTGTAAATATACATGTAATGCCTCTTTAAAGAGATACCTGGTGGTCATGTGGCTTCATTTATTACATTTTGAAGTACTTCTTCAATACACGAGTTGTCTTCAGAATAGCAGAATTCTCAGAATTCTGACTTTAAACTCAGAATTCTACGGAAGAGTATTAGGGCCACTGCATACATTTTTTTAAATAGGGAACTAGTTTTATTGTTACCTACCTAACCACTGACTTTAAACTCAGAATTCTGACTTTATTCTCAGAATTCTGACTTTAAACTCAGAATTCTACGGAAGAGTATTAGGGCCACTGCATACATTTTTTTAAATAGGGAACTAGTTTTATTGTTACCTACCTAACCACTGACTTTAAACTCAGAATTCTGACTTTATTCTCAGAATTCTGACTTTAAAGTCAGAATTTTGAGATTAAAGTCAGAATTCTGGGAATAAAGTCAGAATTCTGACCTGTGACTTTAAAGTCAGAATTCTGAGTTTAAAGTCAGAATTCTGAGAATAAAGTCGGAATTCTGAGTTTAAAGTCAGTGGTTAGGTAGGTAACAATAAAACTAGTTCCCTATTTAAAAAAAATGTATGCAGTAGCCCTAATACTCTTCCGTAGAATTCTGAGTTTAAAGTCAGAATTCTGAGAATAAAGTCAGAATTAAAAAAAAAAAATTATGCAGTGGCCCTAATACTCTTCCGTAAGTTTCTCTCTGACTCAACACACAATAAAATTGTCAGGTTTGCCCGGCTGCACCTGCCTTCTCACTCCCCTCACTCTGTTTTTGCTCCCTTACCTTGATTACGTTATCCGACACACCTGCTTCTTATCCCCTGATCACCACCAGCTGCACCTGATTAGTTCTCCCTATTTATTCCCTGCTCTACGTTCACTCCCCTGTCAGTTCTTTCTAGCATGATCAGGCACGTTTGTTTCCCGTTCTCATTTGCTGTATATTAGCTTCACGTTTTGTCGCCCTAGCTCTGTTCCAGTCTTTAGCTCCATTGTTTCATTCCTCCTCGCCTCTGTCGCTTCTCCGGACCACGGACCTCCTCTACCCGGCTCCTTCTCCACCACGCAGGTCGATGCACAGTCTCCTACTAACTGTATGTACAAACTCTGTTCTTCCTCAGTACTTTCCACCACGACCAGCCCAGGAGTGAGTCCCAGCGTCCGCAGCCCGGCCTTTCCCTCATCATTCCACCACTGACTGTTATTCAACACTACCATGTAACTCTAGTGCGTGCGCATATATATATATATATATATATAGTATGTGCTGAACATAAATTGTACTACAATGCATGGAATATTGGAGTGTTGCACTCCAAATCATGTCATGTGTTTTCAGATTATGATAATGTTTGTTGAAGACACATAGTCAATAAGGTGATTATAATTTTGCATGGGAAACAATGCAAGCTAATGTATGAACGTGTGTGTGTGAAAGACAATAATTGTGTAACTAAGTAAAAAGAAGAGAAACAATGCGCATTGGAGAGCAAATGTTCTCTAAATGTCACATACAGTATACATGTGAGAGCAAAAGCAAAGTGTGGGGGTGTATTGGGGATGGGGTCTGTGCAGCATATGTGTGTGAAAGCTACAGTAATTGCTTCCAGAGGCAGGATGTGACACAATGAGCCCCTCCCTCCATGCTGACCTGGCACACAGACACACACACACGGCACAGGAGAGTAGTAACAGGTCACCCTAACAGACCCTCTCACTGAACAAAGCTGTCAAAACAAAAACGGGCTTTTGGGCCACAAGGAGTGTTTGTGTGGGGGTGTGAGGGGGGTGGATATCCATTTTGCTATACTTGTGGGGACCAAAAGCTGGGAGTGCACTAGCTTTGTAAGGGCTGTGTTACCTGTGGGGACAGGAGTCCTGTCTCCACAGTGTACTTTGTAGAGCAAGTGTTGGCTTTGGTTAGGGCTAGGCAAGTTGCAGTTATGGCTAAGGTTAGGGTAAGTCTTGTGGAAATGAATTTAAGTCTATGTAGGGACCTGTAAAGCGATCATAAGAAACTCAGACTCTTGGATGTGTGTATATATACGGGAACTAGTTTTATTGTTACCTACCTAACCACTTTTTAGGGTGCATCTATCTGTACTGTGTATTGTAGTGGCAGTAGAGTTTGTCTTTGCTACTGTATACTGATGTGAAATTGTGGCTTTGGGAACACGTATACACACAAACCACAGTACCTGCTGGCTCCATAGCTGACAAGGTATCCCAGACCTTGTCACATTCAGACTGCCTTGATAAAAACGTCCTCTATCATTGTAACACGCTGCTGTTGATATCAAACGGAACAGTTGCAGGATTAATCATTTTTGACAACTGCTATTTAATAATACATTATGTATTCATTGCTGATGTGCTGATTATTGGATACAGTTACATTTTTGTTGCAACAAAATGCCTTTCACACTTACTTGTAACTTGATCTTTCTTGATATCTGAAAGGTAGAAAAACAGATTAAGAAAAAAAAATCATATTAAGAAGAAGCCCAGCTGTTCAATGCAGCACTGAAGGGTAATTCAGTACAACTAAGGTATTACAGAGTAAGCATACACACTGTTATGATATTGTACAACACACACACACACACACACACCTGAAGAGGTGTTGTTTGACTTAGCCTAGTTCGATTGTCATCGGTATCAGTGGCCTGCAGTGTAGCAGGTCAACTTGTATGTGGACTTCATCAGGAATAACTGCACCGAATCAACTTGTGATTTTCTTTTATATATGCTCCATTTCCTTCCTCCTACAGTATTTGCTTTTATGCAGACTGTTTCAGAATTAACAAGTCAGGATTTTAGCAAATTACAATGTGGGCCCATCACCTGCCGGAGGATCCGTAA